GTGTGCCGGCGCCGCAAGGCGGAGGATTAGCCTAGTGAGCCGCGGCACCGGCCCCAAAACCATTTTAAACTTGCTATGTACTGAACGGATCTCATTATCTTTCCCTTAAACTGGTCTGTTCTTCTAAAAATTGACATATATAATAATTGCTTGTATTTATAGGGTATAATAACTTGACACATGTATATAGCATGCAGTGATCAAATCAGGGTAGTCAGCCATTTCTACCTCCTTTTTTTTTTTTTCAGTATTCTAGCATTTTATTGAATCAGGCAAGGAATCTCCACATTGTTGTACATACAAGTTTATATACAGTGATAAGGGCATGCCACTTGTCGCAAAGATACAGCTGAACAGTTAGTTGGCAAGTCTAGAATTCTGAGAACATTCAAAGAGTAAACACAGTAAAATGTCATGCAAGTTCTAGAACAGTGAATCATGATGGAGCTCACTCAACTTATCCTTTATCTTCAAAATGCATATGGTATCTTTAACCAGAAAAAAATGAATCTGACAACCAGTAGGTTGTCTCTGGTTGACATTTATCTCCCTAAGGACTGTCGAGCCTCTCTGTCACTGGCCTGTCTGACTGGAAATAACCCTAAGCACACAGGTTTTCTGGAAAGATTTACTGCTGTAAAATGCATGCCGCTTATTCATATTACCCCTTAAAGTCAAGGAGCTTCGCTTAAAGCATGTATGTGTATGATTCCTAAACCAGGAATCCCAGCTATGACCTTCTCATGTATTTACACTGAATATGGGCCCACAACAAACCACGTGAAGATTAAAGAGACTGTGAGTAGAGAAACAATTCAGTGAGCCTGTCATTACCTAGGTCTATTGTAGCTTAGCTAAGTGACACTAAGTTTAAGAACCTTAAGAGACCTTATGGACATTTTCTTAGGTGATAGTTTTGAACTTTTAGGTTTAAAATGATAGCTGGACTTCACACAGCCTCATACTGATTTGTCCAGATCTACATCTAAAATATACTCCACATCCTAATGAGTAGGTAGACAAGATCAAAGGCCGTTTTATAAGCTTTACTTTCCCATAACCTTTACTTCCCCTCCGCCACTCCTCCTGTGGAAGCTCCCCAATGTAAGCCAAAAGGTCAATTCTGGATTTAAACTTGTCTGAACTCGGATTATAAGAGTTAACATGCAAATACAGGGACAAAGTTAAATTCATTTGTCAACAGCGAACATTATAGTTGTATGCTACAAACCTGCTAAACAGAAGACCCGGAGAAAACAAAGATGACAACACCCACATTAAATAAAAAAAAAAAATCTTGACGGTAGTTTTATTTTATAGCAACTGAATTTATCCATCAAATGCTTCATGACCACAAAATGTTTCTGAAACTAAAACTAAAAGAGGGTTTCAGGGAGTTGGGAATACATGTTAGATACTAACGACCTTCAAGCTCTGAAGATGTCATTACATGAAGAAAACAATGGGAAACCCTGTTCCTGGAAATCACGTACACGTAACATGGAGATCACTGTCTCCGATACAGACACTGTGGTAGGCAAAAACTACCTTGCTCTTTATACATTATGGAAGACACTGTCCCCCATAATGTGAGTTAGGTTTCTGACAAAGGTACTGGAAATTTTGCAAAACTGGAATTTAAGCTATATCCTGGATAAATGTAGCCATAAAATTCTGCATGAGCAGTACCCACAGCCTTTAGGTGACATTTATTTAGAACTTGGTTTAGAATGTAGTTCATTATATTCAGGAGAACTATCATTTTTATCTGGTCAGCTAAATACAAGTCTAACTTGATTAGCTATCCCTAATTAAATTTAATTTTTTCTTTAGCTTTTTAATTTTTTGGGGGGGGATTGCATCTGTTTTCTAAAACCCACTATAGTGTTGATCATGAAGGCAAAACTTCCAGTATTTGTTGGGTTTTATTAGCAGATGCTGCTTTTATTAAAAAAAAAAAAGAAGTATAACTGTCATAATTATGGAAGGCACTGCTTCCGATAATTATCTTCTATAAAAAACATCATTTATAGTGAACTCTGTCACTGATAAATAAACAATAAATATCTCAGTGCCAAAATGATAGAAAGCTTTCCCAAAATATTAACACTTTGGCCAAAATTTGGCAGTGTGTTCCTTAAGGTCTGACAAACTGAATCTGAACACCTAAAACTGGTTCTCTTTCAAAATACTTTGGAAAAAACAAAACCAACAAAGAACTAAACAAAGACTTGTGGGGCAGGGGACAGAGGAAAAGAAAACCCACTAAGTCTTTGGCTTCTGGTCTCCTCTTCTTATAAATATTGAGGTTAACACATTAAGGCCTCACTCCTGCAATAAATAGTTGAACCTCATTTCATCCATTTCTACCTCCTTAAACATGTATCATTTCTTTATGCTGGGAAGTTTTCAATCCTCTTTTCCAGTTCTTCATAAAACATATAATGTTGCAAACTGTAATCATCCTACTATGTTAGGGATTAGGAAGGGAACTGTAGAAGGAGGCGATATAGTTGGAAGGTACCAAAGCACAGTTACATAGCAAGATAAGTTCCAGTAGTATGTTCTTTATTCTTTTTTTTTTTTTTTTTAATTAATGACTGTAGCACTTACCTGGACACCCAAGGAGACCAGCTAGACTTCTTTCTCTACTATTCTCTGTTCTTCCTTCCATATTTAACCAACTACTAAGTATACCAATCTTGTTTCCCAAATATCTAGCCAATCAAGCTTCTTTTACACAACTCCAGGGTTCGGCTCCAGCTAATTTTTATCTGGATGACTGTAATAGTTTTACAACTCAATTCCTTTTCCCAGTGTCCCTCATTTCATCTACCACAATGCCATGAGAAGGACAAAGAGACAAAGCCCCTGTGTAAGCTTAACTGCTCATCTTCAGGATTCAGAATATTTTGTCACATGTTCTCTACTTCCTTTCAAATCTAACCCTTAAATCTGTCTTATAAAAAATATTTTCTTTTGCACATGTTACTTGCTCTGCCTGGAAATTTGATAATTAATTATTATATTAATATTTATTATCAGGTATGTACTAGACACTGTATAGGATTTTAAAAATTTTTTTTATTTAGTAAATATAAATTTCCTAAGTACAGTTTATGGATTACAATAGCTCCCCTCCCCCATAATTTCCCTTCCACTCGCACCCCTCCCATCTCCCGCTCCCTCTCCCATTTCATTCACATCAAGATTAATTTTCAATTATCTTTATCTGTATAGGATTTTTTTTTAAAATATAAGGAGATGGAAGGCAATCCTTAGTTTCAATCAAGATCTCTGAAGGAACAACCCACCATACCTTGTTTCAGTTTGGGATACAGGGGTTTATGATACCTATGGAGTCTTCAGATGAACTTCTTAACTCTTCCTTATTAACTTTGCTTAAGAGACAACTTGTCTTGGGATCTTCCTCAATATTCCCATTCTCCTGTTTAACACAGTTAGGACCTTCACCTCCTGCATACCCTGGCACTTTGAGTATATTTCTACAATAACACTTTTACATAGTACTGTAACACATGGCTTGAGTTTTTCCCACTATGCTATGAACTTCCTGAGATCAAAGGCTTTATTTTGTCCTCAGAGTTTAGAACATTGCCTGACTCACAGGTTTAATTTAGTAAATGTTCTTATTTCATGTCTACAACCTATCTCATGTCACCACAGTTTATAAATTTTTATAGTTTGCTAATTCTTCAAAGTAAAAATTTTAAGCCAAGAAATTATAAAAAATTTTCTATAAAAATATGAAAATCTCTGTCTTTATATATATATTTATTATAAATTTAAGACAAAAAAATCTCTGAATAATAATTTTTAAAAAACTAATATTTTTCTTGCTTTATAGGAACATAAATAGAATTAGAATTTGGAACATACAAAACAGCATTAAAAGCAATTAAAGTAATATATAATATTTACTGATATATGTCCTCTATACCTTTTAAATACAACTATGTTTTTAAATAAAATTATAATATAATACTTTTGAGATTTTTATTCATATTATTAATTCTGTAGTGTGTTATTTATTGTTCTTTGAAAACAATTTTAAGCCTAAATACTGTACTTATATGACTAGTCCACAATTTATTTAATAATTATTCTTTATTTAGGTAACATATCACTGTTATATTTATTGTGTGATAAACTCTCAGTATTATAAATAATACTGTCGTAGCATCATCTACAGGAAAGATACTTAGAATGGAAACTCTTGTCTCAGAAGCATAAACTTTTAATTGCCCTACATACACATAAAACATCTTTTCAGAGCATTTGTACACATTCACATTTATTTCTACATTAAATTCTAGAAGACATTGTTTATCACTGGTTACTCCTTAAAATTCATCTTCACACAGGAAGGGGATTTGTATGCCTTTTTTCTAGCAGTTTGAAGAAGAGTTTTTGATATGCACATGTGGCATATAACTTTTTGGTGACATGGTCACATTCCTATTCTAATTTAGTTCTCACAAAACCCCTAAGAACTGGGCACTATTATCTCCACCAAAGCTAGGCAAACAGAGGTTCAAGTATGTTAACATTCAAACAAGTCCTTATTTCAGGAATTTCCTTTCAAACTCCCAAGACTTTGTTTTTAGCAGGTAAAAAAAAATAGCTATCTCCGTTTTCTTCCTTCTTTTCTAGAAAGTGTACAATCTGACAGATAGCTCTTAATAAAAGGTGCCATACTTGGGTGTTTCATCTGTATCAGTATCAAACTGCCTCAGATGAAAGCTAAAGTAATTCAAGAGCACTAGCAGTTCATGACTGTATGGAGCCTACCCCCATCACACAGATACAATGTATTCCTGAGTCAGTTGAATCAATATTACTGTATGACATGAATATTCCTATGAAATGGCCATTCTTAACACATTTGTAAAGGAGGGGTTGAAATAGAAGTAGTATTTGAAATGGTCATCAGAATGGCGTACTCATTTCTCTTCCGTTTAAAACTGAGAGATTCTTACCTTAACTATTAATCCTTTTGAGTCAACAAGCCATATCTTTTTGATGGCCTTCTCTTTTGGTAAGCCTTCTTTTTCCATGGCCATCACAATCAGATGTGCAATCCCTAAGGCAGCCTGAGAAAAAGGTCATGAAGACAAAAATGTTAAAAGTATTCAATTCCACACAGTATCTTATCAAGGGTTATATTTTCTTCATTTTGTCCTTGTTCTCAAGGAATTATAAAACGGCTGTCTGTTAAGCTAAAGAAATATCTTCATTCATTTATACTGGGGCCAAATATTTGTTACATTTGGGTTAAGACAAATGACAATCATTTACTCTTCTAACTACAACACAACCACTAATATATGATTTGCTATTTAGCCACAGATAAATCAGTGATAATCTTGATTGTCAGCATCTTTAATTCTACTAATACAATCGAGATTTGCTCCAAAAGGAAAATACTGAACTTAAAATAATGAACTAGTCAACCTTGCTCTTTAGACTGTATTTTATTGTTAAGTTCAAGCTCCTCTAATTGCATTTGAAGAATTAAGCCTGGTCATTTGGACGGGAACTTGACCAATTAGGCAACAGAATGAAACTGACAAAAATAAAATCAGCATTCCCGAGTATTTACTTATTCTCTTGATTTGGATAAAGAAAAGTGCTGTGAAATTTCTTGCAAGATTAAAGGAATCAGCTCCCTTGGTATTTGGCAAACTTTGCTACAATCTGTGAAATTTCTATTATCTTTTCAGGGATAAACTAAGCGCCAGATTGAGTCATTCAACCATGAACACTTCTGCCCTGCTGAGTACCAAGAACTGGCCCATGCCATTCATCAAAAACCCTTTGGAAATTCAAAGAGATTTACTAAAATTAAATATAGCATGTAATAATCCATGAAATAAAGAACTCAAACATTAATGAGCTGTTGGTTAACCTTGATTTTCATTTCAATTTGAAAGTAAGTCTGTAATTTACAATCTAAGTAGTTTCATGTATTTAAATCCTGGCATTTAAGTTCTAGTTCATGCTTTTTGCTTTATTTTGAAAAAAAAAAAAAGAAAATGAAAACACAATATATATACAATAGTATAATATGTTGTTTTGGTTAATATTCATATTATTTTATAAATTTTAAAGTTTCTTAAAATATATATCCATGAATCATTTTTCTATTTGTTAACTTCTACTGAGATTTTGGAAATGTTCCTATCAGAAGCTCAAATGCAACTAACATTTAAATTTCTATTTTAGGGGCGAATTATTTTTACTGTGGTCTGCTTTTCTACTTTAGAATGACTAAACTATAGAAAGTAATAACAGAAAACAATATAATTTGGTCTTGCTACAGTCTCCTTCCACAGTTTAAAATATTTTGGTTCTTTTGCATGTGAACAATTATAATGTACCATAAACTCAATTCATCTAATTTATCTAATTCAAACTATTTTTTTCCCTAAAAGGATGTACACAGGGTCTTTAAAAAGTTCATGGAAATGGATGTTAAGAAAAAAACAACACATGAGTGTCAATACAGAAAATAAATTTATCTTTTAATTCTGTTTTCCATTTACTTTTTTGAAGTATCCTCAAACACAGTGATATATGTACACATTGAGTCTAAATTAAGAAAGCTTTTGTATGTGACACTAGAGTATACCAAAAGTCAGATACACAAGTTAAATACCTACAGACTTCCATATATAATCATACATTATGAACGTTTTTTCTGCACAGTATCTTAAATATACACTAAAAAGGATGATGCCAGCTTTGGTAATCTTATAAATGTAAAACTGTAAAAATATCTTGTACCTCTATGCTAAAGTCTCCTCACGAAAAGTTAAAATGCCTGAACACCTAATTTTGGAATCTTCAATAATGCCTATAGTTGTAATATACAAGATATGTGAAAGGATACCTTAAAACTTGATTTAGTAAATAATTAAACTAATGACATATTCATTGGTTTAGGGGAATAAAAGCATTATATAAAGCAAGTACCTCTCCAGCTCCTTGGAATAGCACTGTTTGATCAGACAGTTTGTTCTTGGTTATTCGAAGAGCTGCAAGGAGACCTGCAACTGCAACAGATGCTGTTCCTGAAACAAGCAATAAATATCCTTGAGCAATCCTCAAACAGATTCTGCCAAATTCTAAGCCTTAACTCATCTCTGGAAACCATTACATAAAAGGTTCACAGACAAAAAAAACCCCAAGGTTGTCTGTTCCATGCTTACTTATGAGGTGAAATTTTCAGGCCACTGATATCAATATTTTAAGATAGCGGCTGGGGTCGGCGCTGTGATGTAGCAGGTTAAAGCCCTGGCCTGAAGTGCCAGCATCTGATATGGGCACCAGTTCTAGTCCCAGCTGCTCCTCTTCCGATCCAGCTCTCTGCCATGGCCTCAGAAAGCAGGCCACATGGGAGATCTGGAAGAAGCTCCTGGCTCCTGGCTTTGGATCTGCTCAGCTCTGGCCATTGCGGCCACTTGGGGAGTGAACCAGTGGATGGAAGACCTCTCTCTCTGTCTCTCCCTCTCACTGTCTGTAACTCTACCTCTCAAATAAAAAAAAAGAGAGCAGCTTATTACTATTCTTGAAATTTTCCCCAAAAGAATAGACCATAACTTATTTTGGTGATACAATTGGTGACATCGAAGTCTGGATTCTTATATGGATTCCAGCTTGACTCAATTACTTGCCAAAAGAATTGAGAGATAATTCTCATTTGTATTTTCACTATATGGTATAGATGAATAACAACTGATATTTAATTCTTCCACCTCATTACTCTTAGTGTTTTGAAATCTCTTATTGATTCCTTTCATACAAAGGAAGCACATGGTAACTGTTTGCAGCTAATGGTATTGATGGTAATAGTGTTGTGGATACATTTGGAATTTAATGTTTTTAACTTTTCAAAGTAAAAATTTTAATTTTTCAAAGTTAACAAATAAAATCTAATTGCATGGCATTCTTTAATTGTCTTTGTATATGTTAATCATTGGTGGATCCCAAATACACTAGACAAAATTAAAGCAAAATGTTTAGGATAAAAACTGCGTTTTCTGTATCACACCTCACAGGCATAGAGACTCTACCAGTTCTAATTATATTACCTCACCATGTACGCTTTCACAGATCACAAAACAGTCCTCTTTCTTTGAACATAATTATACAGCTAAGCTCTCTATGGGTTATGCCTGAACTAAAACAGTGCAGCTCCTTGCAGTGCTCTCTGGCTGTATCTACATTTTACTACTCTAAAGTCACATTCTACCTATGTTTCCTAGATCATTCAACTGGGTGGTAAAGTCTAGTTAAAATTTAAATACCCTTATTTGGTTAAACCACACATTGGGATAGATGTAATGAATGACACAATGAAGAAGTGTTATATATGCCAAAGACCAATATATCTTTCATTAAAGAATGACCTCTATTAGTGAAATAACTTTTTAGACCTGATTAGAATTACTATATATTACTAGTAAGGGAGATGGATGTGCAATCAAACAATTGTAAAACTTACATGCCAACAAATAGATCAGAGAGGTAAGAACTAGAAGTAGCAAGAGGAGGGTGAATTTACCTAGGCAGGGACCAAGGCATATAGAGTACCTATGATCTGAGCACCTGTGCTGAGGGATTCGTGTGAGATATCCAGGACCTCAGATGAGAGGATTTACTGAGCAGGAAAAGTACATGCAGAGACATGGAGACAAGGATGACTTCCTATTTAAAATTGGAGGTTGAATACACAATTAGTATTCCTTCCACAAAATTCTGTTAAAACAACAGAAAACAGCTTTAAAAATGAAACTAGAAGAGGGTAGCAGCAAAATTTTAGGAGCTAGAAGGCTTATAAACGGGCAAATGGAAACTGACTTAATAGACTTGAATAATCTAAATTGCTGGCTAGCAGTGGGGGTTGATAAGAAGTGACCAGATAAATCAAAACTCTCAAAAAGTCCATCTGTAAGAGGTACTATGCACTTCTAGAAGCGGGGATGAAAGATCTAAAACCACAAAGTTGGTCAAAAGTCTGTTAAGCAGCTAGAATTCAAATCTGCTTCTCTCTCCTGCTAATGGATTAGGTGACCCTCCAGCATACTGGAAGTTTCAACAAATCAAGCTAGAGACATACATGAAGAGAGGTTCTGGACTGTAAGACACTGGGCACAATTAGCAGACAGGAAGCCATAATGAAAATAAGAATAAATGAAAATTTACATACTTAACATGGAGATTCCAATCTGTTCCTACTCAGCTCAAAAAATACTGGCAGAAAGCTAGTATCAGGAGAGAGACTGGAAAAAGCTTTTCTTGGAATCTGAGAAGTGTAACAAAAAAGATCCAAAGAGACTGACAGGGAGGTTCTCTAAGAAAATGGCTTAAAGGTCTAAATTTCTATCCAAAGTCTTTGATATTTAAGATAATTTTAGATCACTAGTACAATAAATTTTAAGTATATTTTTGTTAATCTAATACTTTTTGTAAAATACTATTTTTAAAAAACACATATGTCCAAAAAAGAAGGAAAAATGTTCCCTCAAGGGTCCAGTGTAAAAACATTTATTTACATAGTATGGCTGTAATGGTTAGAGAATTATTTTCATTGGCACAGGAATGCAATTTCTGTGCCCACAGTGGGGAAAGTATTACATCTGTGGTAAAAATATCACAAATATTACATAATGGTAAAAATATAATATTAAAAAGGTAAAAAAGAAATATATGGAGGAAAGTGTCTTTAGGACACAATTTTGGTAGAGAGAAACACACAATATGGCTTGGTCATTTCTAGTCAGAACCTTAATAACTTGCCAAAGGTTTTCTCTAGGTAGAGATTACACATTTTTCTCAAACATATCTTTTTTGTTTTCTAAGGCAGTAATACTCTAAAATTCCTGGGTAAAAATTAGCAGACTATTTATGTGCAGATCACATCTTGGCCCAGATTAGTTGGGGTAATAAGCTAACTATTTAATGCCTGTATAGTGGGGACCTGTTTGGAGGAATATTCTGCTGTGGATTCCCAGGGCTTTTTTCACATTCACTGCTCTTTTTTTTTTTTTCTTTTTAAGGTTTATTTACTTATTTGAAAGTCAGAGTTATACAGAGAGAGGGAGAGGCAGAGAGGCAGAGAGGCAAAGAGGCAGAGAGAGAGAGAGAGAAAGAAAGAGAGAAAGAGAGAAAGAGAGAAAGAGAGGTCTTTCATCTGCTGGTTCACTCCCCAGTTAGCCGCAACAGCCAGAGCTACACTGATCCGAAGCCAGGAGCCAGGAGCTCCTTCTGGGTCTCCCATGGGGGTACAGGGCCATCTCTACTGCTTTTCCCGGCCATAGCAGAGAGCAGGATGGGAAGTGGAGCGCCCGGGACTCAAACTGGCACCCATATGGGATGCCAGCACTGCAAGCCACAGCTTTACCCACTACACCACAGCGCCGGCCCCACATTCACTGCTCTTGAACTTGGTTTAGCTCTCGTCAGATTTCCTGTGTTCTAGTTTTTAATTCTGATGGACCCTGGGCACTGATCACTGAGTTTCTAACCTTGGTTGATGGAAATTATGACTCTAATTGCTATTTTCTTTGTTTGATGACTGTATTTAGTATTTGTTTTCTTAAACTGAACTGATTTCCAATAATTCTGCAGAATGTTTCAAATGCATTACTACTGGTCCTTTATACAACAATATATTTATTTGAGAGGCAGAGAGATAAAGAGAGCTCTCACACTTGCTGGTTCATTTTCCCAAATGCCTGCAGTGACCAGGATTGGGAACACTCAAGACAGGAACCAGGAACTCAAATGCATGCCCCCTACATTGGGCATTGGAACCAAACTACTTGAACCATCACTGATGCTCTTCTGTGTCTGCATTAGCAGGAAGCTTGAGACAGGGGTCAGACAAAGCCAGATATTGAGCCCAGGTTCTCTAATATGGGATGCAGGCATCTTAACCAATATCTTACCACTAGGCTAAATGCTCATCCCTATAATGCTGGTCTTTCACTTAAAAAAATGTATTTTATTTATTTGAAATTCACAGTTAGAGAGAGGCGGGGGGGGGGGGACAGAGAGAGGTCTTCCATCCGCTGGTTCACTCTCCAAATGGCCACAATGGCAGGGGCTAAGTCAGGCCAAAGACGTGAGCCAGGAACTTCTGGGTCTCCCACATAGGTGCAGGGGCCTAAGCATTTGGGCTATCCTCCCTCTTTCCCAGATGCATTAGCAGGGAGCAGGATTGGAAGTGCATCAGTTGGGACTCTAACTGGCACCCAAGTGGGATGCCCTCATCACAGATGGTGGCTTTACCTCCTACACAACACCACCAACCCCTGGTCTTTCACACTTTTATATGGACATTTCTCTAAGACACACAAAATTGAAAGATATATGGTATTAGAGAAAGGAAGATATACTGTTGTTCAACAGCTTACTGGTGACTATTTGTAGACTACTGCAAAATGAATTGGTAAGAGATTTAAAGACACTGGTCTGCAAAGTCTGTGTACCATCAAAAGTACTCTTGTCATACACAATAACTTCAAGTTAGGTTTGCAACACATTAAAATTACCTAGAAATTTCCATATTATACCATTTTTGAAAACTTTCAAATATCCATTTCTTATGAATAAATACTCAAAAGAATTTTAATATAGAAAGAGAAGAAAGCAAAGCTTAAATAACATAAGAAATCCTGTAATGAAAATGTGCAATAATCATGAATTTACTAAGGTCACAACATAATTTTCATCACTAAGGCTTTGGGAAAAGGAAAAATTGTGGGGAGCAACCAAGACTAGACTAAATTACTGGAACTGCTAGGACTAATTCTATGCATCTGACCTCCCATCATACGGCGCTGAGAGAGAGTAAACAACTTCTACACAGCTGCCTCACCAATTCGACTAATAAGCTGCAGGAGCTGATCCTGCTCCTGATTGGAGGAGAGCAGCATGCTCAGTGTGTGGGCAGCAGAGCATGGATTGGTGGAAGAGGACTATAAAGGAGGAGAGAGACAGCATGCACCAGGAACATCTGAGGAACATCTGAGCAACCCCTGAGAGAGCCGGCCGGCGGTGTGCCGCT